CGGCCGGCCGGCCGAACCGGACGGACCGGTTCCGACCGGCCGTCGTTTCCGGACGGCTTTCTTGCCGTCCGGCCGGCCGGTTCGGACACGGCCGGTCCGACCGGCCATGCTTTCCGGACGGCTTTTAGCCCGTCCGGCCGCCGGTTCCGGACGGTCTTTAAGCCGTCCGGCCGGCCGGTCCGGACGGGCTATAAGCTGTCCGGAACCGGCGGCCGGACACGTATTTTTTCGTACCTCCGAATTTGACGACATTTCACCGTACACTTTCCTCTGAGATGTTTAGAAAAAATGAGAAGGGCAAAATTGTCCAAGGGGGGAGGTGACTAGTAAAATGGGGGGCGGTGAATAGTAACACCCTATTTAATCTGAAAGAATACTTCACGCACACGGGCAATTTAAAAGGAATGTGCACAAAAGAATGCTCAACAGTAGCATTTAACTATCTATTTATACATTCAATAATTTCAACATTGCTCTATATATATCCAACAGTTGGTGACTTGGTTCATAAATATATCTCCAACAAAACAACAATGGATGGAATTAATATACACCACCAAAAATAATTAGAAGCCCCTCGTCTACAATCATTTTTCACAAGAAGTTGAGCAAAATATTTTGAGGTATAAGGATAAGAAAGGAAATCACAAGTTGGGTGGAGGTCCAGATCGAGTACTCGTATTCGTATTCGTATTCAACAGAGGATGTAAAGCTTTTACTACAATGCTCATGTTTGGCCGAAAATCAGCTTCGTATTGCACACACAAGGCAGCAACTGCAGCCATCTGTCATTTTTAAGAATTCGAAATTACATATCACCATGGAAGAATAACAGATAGCACTTAATACACATATTTTAGATTAGGTCGGTTTGCTTAAAGTATGATTTAATCCTCAAATCAACAATAATGCACTTCATTTTTTATTTTTTTTCCAATGTTATTTCTTTTTTCTTTTCCTTTTTGATTAAATAAGAAGGTTTATTTTACTTATTTATTTTCAACTTGGGTACCTTGGCAACAGCCTTAGGAGGGTATTCTCCATTGAGTCTACCATCTACACACTGCTTCACCTTGTCTTCACTTAGCTTAGGCGTTGCCTGATGCATTAAATTAAGAACAAGGTAAAAAAACACTTCATGAAAATAATGTATCAAAATTTCTTACATTCCGTAAAATAGTTACTTCATTAGGAAAGCAAGAAAGAAAACGGCTGGCTTTACCCATGTCACCAGACTCTGCTGCCCTCTAGGAAGTGTATGGTCAACTGGTTTACGGCCAGTCAAGAGTTCTAAGAGCACAACACCAAAGCTGTAAACATCACTCTTTGAGCTTAGTTGCCCAGTCATTGCATATCTGGCATCACAATAAGCAATTTCAGTTCGTTATTTTCCGCAACTTTATACAAAAAAAAAAAAAAAAGAAAAGAAAAAAGAAAAAGAAAAAGCATACTCGGGGGCATGATAACCGAAAGTCCCAAGGACACGAGTAGAATGAAGACGTGCTGCCATGTCAGGGGCTTGATTGGACAAATCAAAATCCGCAATCTTGGCCACATCATCATCGAAGAGTAAAACATTGCTCGATTTGATGTCACGGTGAATGATATGAGGCTGTGCCTTCTCGTGCAAGTATTCTAGTCCTTTGGCGGCCCCAACAGCAATTTTAACTCTCTGGGCCCACGACAGTAATTGACCTGGTTCTGCACCTTTCACACCTTTCCGACCTATATTAACATCTACAGTTAGTTTCCTACTAAACAAGGTTAATAACAACTGAAATGATATAAGCTACAATGAATGAGTCGTGTTGGTTTAACATCATAGCCATTTTAGTCCCAAGGTTCCAACTTTTTGCCTTTTAGTCCTACGATTTAATATGTTGCTGCAATTTAAGTCCTCAAAGGACTGAAACCGCAACAAAATTTTAAACAACAGGACTGAAATCGCAACAAAATTTTCAATTACAGGACTTAAACTGCTAATAAGAATCTATATAAATTTGGAAATTTGTTGCAATTTTAGTCCTCAAATGACTGAAATTGCAGCAAAATAAGGCAAATTGTTAGAATCTTGGGACATGACGTTAAATCAGCAGGACTAAAAATGCAATTTAGCAATGGAATCAGTAGAATAAATGCCGAACTCACCATGGAGAATGTCGTGTAGGGATCCATTAGGGGCGTACTCGTATGCCAGAACACGAAGACCACCATCCACAGAGTAACCAAGCAACCCAACAACATTCTCATGCTTTAGCCTTGATACCATAGAGACCTGGAAAACCACAAATATTTCACAATGGAAACTCATTAAGAACAATAAGCCGACAATATGCACTTTCACTTGCAATGCCAAAAAAACCTGTGCTAGAAATTCTTGGTCTGGCTGCTTGCTGGAATCTAGCTTTTTAACTGCAGCCGTCTGTCCACTTTTCAAAACCCCATGGTACACCCTTCCATAAGAGCCCTCACCAATTAACGATTTTGAACCGAAATTATCAGTAATGTCCTTTAGCTCGTCTACAGGAATGGCAGGCACAGCTATCGGCTGCATGCTAATACTCTGTTTATCCTTTTGTGCTGTTTCTGTTGCGTGATAGCCTCCATGGTTGCCTACAGAAGAAGTTTTTGCCCGGTTCAATAACAACATAAAAGTAGATACTCATTAATGGTAACACCATGGGGAAAAATGTTGGATCTTTACTTTATGCAAAAACTGCACATTCAATTTTTGAAAATAAATCGTATAATACTGACTGTGTTTGAATTTTCCGATCATTAAGAAACTGATACCAAAGAGTTTCGGTCAGCATCTATAATTTAAATTTGTTCAGTAACAATTTTTCTCATGAGTTCAAAATGTGGAAAGTAAGTTGCCAAGGATTATTATAGTGAAATTCGAAACCTAACCTGCAGCATGAGTTGTTGTGTAAGGCCCATTACCAGCAGCCTTGTGCATGTCATCTTGCTCAAAACAACCAAAGCAACCCATGATGTGTGCTATCCCAAAATTGTATCTATGGTATAAAAGCAATCAGAAAAAATCACTTGCCATTGTTCATTATTACTACATGAATTATCAAGAGAAGCGATCTAATTTTTCACGGAGTCTCGTCTAGAAAAAAGAGGCATCAGTACAGTAAGTAGGTCAAGACCAGTTTCAGCATTCGTAAGGCCTTATGCGGAACAGGAAAAATCTTATAGAAACAACATAACTGGGTAAATTGCTCTTGAGTGGAGAACATTTTCAATTGTTTTCTCCAATCCATGTTGGTAATGTGCAGTGGACAACACAGTGCACAAAACAGGTAGCTATCATATGGAACAAATGCAAAATGCCTATGACCGCATAAGCATACTTTTCGTCATGAAAGGGAGAAAAAATGTAATCTCGCATTATAGCGCTTTTCACCTCAACCACCACCAAAAAAAAATCCCAAGACGTAACATCGTTGATACTATTTTTTTCCCCAAAAAGACTGAATTGCAAATTTCCTTTTGGCTGTCTTGGATAATTGCCCAAGTCAGATAAAAGTATTAACTAAATAAAATTGAATTAGCCTATCCTTCAGACATGCGGGACTGACTCAGTCAATTATTGCAGATGCAGAAATCAAACTTGCGACCTCTTACGGTCTTACCTTAAGAACTACCATAACTACTCTACTTGAGCATCTAAGAGGTACACTACTTTCTCTTTCTGCTAATGGAAAATAAATGGAATCGATTAGAACACTAGGTGAAGC